GAGCACAATTCTGCTTGGTAGGCGTGGTGGAGGTAATGTCGCTGGTGAGCTGATCAGTGGCGAGTCGTGTGTCCATCGCAGAGTTTGTCATCGTGATGCCTGTCGTAGCGCCCAAAGTCGAGCCAGCATTCACAGTCGCGTTTGTATCAGCCTGCTTCAAGTCAACGGATTCTCTTCGCTCCTCCACTCCACTGTTCCCTTCGCCCGGAATCTCTGTGGCCGTAGCCATGGCAGGGGGCTTTGGAGTATGACTTGACTGTGTGCCCGGCCCGATTGCAGCTCCATCATTATCCCGGTTGGCGTGAAGACAGGACAAAAAGAAGGGAGTGGTGGTACGCGTCTGTTGCGGTGGCGGTCGGTCAGGGTTCAGATTGTCGACAATCGTGCCATCCGGCGAGTAGAACTCGTTCAAATCATCGAAGCACTCAGTCTCTATCATCTGAAAGTAGATGAGATGCTAATTTGACTTGATAAGAATCATTCAGAGGATTCACAATTGGTCGAGCTAACCAGAAATAGAGATGGGATATTTCAAGCCTGTTATGGCTTGATTACACTGGGCATGTTGAAATCATACACTTGGTGACATGCTCCGGTTAATACTGGCTGATTTCTCAGTGTCATAAAACGAAATTCAGCTCACCCAAGAGCTATACAGTAATTATGGGAAAACACTTAATTTTTTTGCTTGATGTATAAGGAGAGTAAATCTACTTAGATTATTATGACTTTCACTTGGGTGGATTACCATTCCGCAGTCGGTTGATTGCTCTACCGCGCTAACATCAATGCGGTCCGTGAAAAATCGTCCTTCGGTTGGCATGAAAACGGGCTCAGCTCTTGTCTGTCGTGCTATTTGACAGACATTGTTAGAACTGGAACTTATTCTTACCAAATCATTAAGCTAGCACGGAGCCGAGAAGACGTAGTTCCGTTTTCAGCTGCGAGTCTATATGCCGCGTGGCAAAAGATGCTTGTTGAGTGGCAGGACGGAAAAAAGTTTAGCTCACTTCCACTCGAAGCGAAGGAGGATGTCTGGTAGATGGCCTCAACCTAAATTTCATGGTACAATCAAACAACTGCAGAGCCATAAAGATCAGTCATCTTCTCATGTGATTGGCTTTGACGCGAATCTAAATTCATCAAAGCAATATCCTTGCGCTTTTCCATAATAAATAGGCTTTTGAGACTCCCAGCAGATCATGTATATGCAGTGAATTTATCCTATTTCGTTAAGGTGATAGGGGAACTCGTGATTGAAGTTTCTCGCTGATATGAGTAGACGTGACATTTCCATTTCAATTTTAAACAGTTGGAGAGAATTTCATTTCGTATAAAAATGTATGAAGAATGCATTCGTGGATTCATCTCACCAGAAGACGACGGCTGATTCGCGTTGTACTGCAGCCGTTTGGCTGTCAAACAAGATGTCCACAAGATGTTCTCCCTCGTTTCGTGTGAGCTCTCGTCCATCACATGATTGAAATCATCAGAGCTG